AAATCGGGATCGGATGTAGCGGAAAGGTACAAGCTGTCGGTAGAGCCGTTCGCAACCTGATACCTGGAGACAGAGTAGCCTGCCTGAGACCTGGAACAGCCGCCAGTCTCTACCAAGACCGGGAAACTGCTTTTCAAAAAATACCTTCGGATATGTCTTTTGAAACTGCTGCCGCAATACCCGCGGCTTATTGCACAGCTTTCCATGCCGTTCATTGCCTTGCTGAGATAAAGCCAGGAGATCGAGTGTTGATCAATTCCGCTGCTGGAGCAGTTGGTCAAGCTGGCATTGAAGTATGTACTGTATCAGGTGCTCATGCATACGCGCTTGTGGGGAGCGTAGCGGAAAAAGAACGCTTGGTCTTCTCGTCTCTGTTGCCAGATGAACGGATATTTCTCAATGACGAGTCGTTCTTAGAGAATCTCGTTCGATTGACCGATAATAAGGGAGTAAAGACGATAATCAACTGTGGTGAATCTGACAGTCGTACCTTCCGTTCATTATGGAGATGTTTTGGAACATCAGGCACTTTCATTCAATTACATGCCCATGGCACACTTGAGAAGCGTGGATGGGAAGTGCCAGAGCTTGACAAAGATATCATTTTTGCCACTATCGATATTGGGAACATAGTGAATAACAATTCTCAAATGCTGGATGAGGTCTGGGACCGAGTAGCGTGTCTTCTTCGCCGAGGCATACTCCGTGGTCACTCGTCCCTGACCTCTTATAGCATATCGGATATTGCTGAAGCGCTGGAGGTCCTCACGCAAACAGATCATCCAGACCCGGTTGTACTCACGGCTGGTATTGGTGATACGGTTAAGGTTCGTACCGTCCCCCTCCTCTATTAGAAAATACTAAGTCAGTAGACTATCATCACTAGGCAACCTGATATGCTTCTCCGACCAGATATCTCATACATGCTTGTTGGGGGACTTGGTGGTATCGGCCGCGCAACAGCACTCTGGATGGCAGATCATGGAGCAAAAACAATCGTTTTTGTCAGTAGAAGCGGACTATCAGGAGTATCGTCCCAACGAACTGTACAAGGATTAAACAAGAAAGGAGTTCGAACCATCATTTATGCCTGCGACATATCCCAATGTGATCAAGTTAAGAAGATGGTGAACGATCTTGAAGAAACTGCACCGCCAATCCGGGGCGTCATCCAAAGTGCCATGATCCTGAGGGTATCTTCTCCCAAAGCTCGATCTACACGTATGAAGCTGACAGGTCGCAGGACACGCATATCGAGAAAATGACTCTTGGCGACTACACTGCTGTACTCAAGCCGAAGTACCACGGAACTTGGAACCTCCACCGCTATCTCCCATCCCATCTTGACTGGTTCATCATGCTATCTTCCATTAGTGGTATTATAGGTAACGCGACTCAGGCCGCCTACGCCGCCGGCTCAACATTCATGGACTCTTTTGCGACGTATCGTAACTCATTGGGGCTTTCAGCAGTATCTTTGGATCTAGGAGTGATCACAGATGCGGGCTATCTAGCCGAGAACAAAGATCTGGCATTGAAAATGGAGCAGCAAGGATTCCAGGGAACTGATACCAAGACCGTTATGTCATTGATCGAGGTAGCAATCACGAGCTGTCAGAAAGACAGAACGACCTCCCAAATTATTACCGGTCTAGGTCGGTGGAAAGCAAGTCGATCACTACCCAACTTCGATGCACCTCTTTTCTCACACTTCCGTCGACTCCATCTAGACACGACAGTCAGTTCTCAGACCGAAATTCCCGATACGCTGAGACAGGACCTCCGGGCCACGAAAACCCTTGAAGATGCTACAGCTGTGATCTATACAGCTTTAAGTGCTCGAGTCGCTACTCATCTCTCAGTTCCAGTTGACAGCATCAACCCTGTTGGTCCAATAACGGAGTATGGAATCGATTCCCATGTAGCGGTCGAACTCCGGAATTGGATCTCCAAACACATAGACGGCACTGTGCCTATTCTAGAAATATTAGCTAGTTCGTCCTTGATGGAGTTGGCAGGGAAGATAGCAGAGAGGACTAATCTAGTTAGGGTCGAGGAGGAGCAGTTATCGTCGGCGTTCTGACAAAGGACTAAGATTAGAAAACTTGGTAAATTGCCAGTTGTTCAGTATATGTTTGCTCTGGATGTAATTATTTCACTTCAATTCACAGTGAATATCAGCATCTTGCACATTACCTGGAGATGATATTGTACAAATACTACTCCCAGTATCTTGCGAAAGAACAAAGCACTAAAACAGTGTAACTAACCTCTTTGGTCTGTTGACCAACCTGTCCTGTACAGTGACTACAGTCCTCAGACCCTTCCACATGAATTAATCGTAGAGATATACGGAAATATTCATCAGCTATTTATAGGAAAGAGCCTCGAGTTGAACTTCAAAGATACAGATGAAACTACGTACCTATATCTCACGAGTCCGCATCAATCTGTGTCGCTTCCGAGCGAAGGTATACAGTGCACATCTAAGCCCCATGTATATGAAGCTACATTACCAGCCGAGTCTTGTTAGTCGCTACGTCCTGCTTTAGTCAAGGAGGAGGGTTCTACAGCTACACAGATATCTAACTTTTTTACAACAATTGCCCGAATACTTTTTCTACAGGGTACTCAAGTATGGTAGATGAGCCGAATGCTCAAATTCGACGTGAGAACTGTTATACTGAGGGGGTATGATAGTAGTACACATTAGAGTTTGAACAATTGTTGAGGGGTGGTTTTATATCCAAATGCTGTATGGCAGAAGACGGGCAAGAACCCAAGAAAATCATTAAAAGATTCTTTCATTACATAGCTTCCAACCGTGGTGGTCTATTGATAGCAGTAAGCTATTCCTGGATATATTCGCTGTTCATTCTAAAGTACACTCTTAAATAACTAGAATAGCCTCTAAATGTCTTCCAACTCTTCCAACCTAGCAAAGCCAATCTACCTCTCGATGCTCCATCGACTCTAGAGTAGACTCTCCTCATCATGATAGATTCCACTATCCATGCTTTCAGAGCTCGTGCTAGGGTCATCTGCGGTACACAATGACTTCGTATGCTGCCTTTGAGCGCATATCACATTTCGAGCCAACTTCGCAATGCTCATGCTCAAACCATGCACCACAACAGAGCCCAGAACAGTAAAGCAAACAACTGGCCAGACCAACTCAACAGTTTCACAGGTATATTGGTCCCAGTCGTCGCCCGGCTGCGTCTGTGGCCGGGAACAGGAGGAATTAAGGTTGTCCCTGGCTTCCATGGACAAAAACAGAGCACCAACACCCATGGGTCCAAAGTGACCGCAGAAGAGTGCCTCCCTGTACGATTTGATATCAGGATTAAATCGTTTCAGGGCGACAATGAACGGAATTCGACGAAGCAGCAGAACAAGGAGCACAAAGATCCCAATTTTCGACAGTGATAACTTTGGTGTATCTGCGACAGTAGCCCAAGGGATCATCAGACCGAAATAGATAAACGTCGCTATACTAAGAGAGAAGCTGATGAATGAGGCGGCCACGGGATTTACCTGGTAAGCGTGTTCAAGCCGGCCGTGGTATGCATACCCGAGGCCAGCACTGAAGACAAGTAGGAAGTCATCCATCCCCATTGTGCTTGAAAATCCTAAGCTGAAGAAGATCAGAGCTAAGGGGAACAGAGCAACGAAGTTTTCAGTAATCCTACCACGCTCGTGGGAATATCGGAGGAGTCTGTTCGCTCCATAACCGAGACTTATCCCGACAGCAACACTCGCAATACATTGGTAGGCTATTGTCACCGTTAAGTATTCTCGCAACACGGCACCAACCGAATGCTCCTTCAGGATGAAAATCCCGAGATATAGGAAGGGGAATGAGGTTCCATCATTCACACCAGACTCCGCGGCCAGAAGATACTTAATACGGTCACTAGTCGCCTTGGGATCCTCCAGGATGGTCGCGACCAGCACCGGATCGGTGGGAGTGAGGCAAGCGCTGATAACGAGCGCAGACGGGTAGCTAGCACCGAAGACCAGATGGATCAGGATCGCGCATACTACCCAGCCACCTATCATAACGGGGCCCAGAAGAATGCCAATCCCTTTCCAGTGCTTTCTGCAATATCCCTCAGGGAGCTCAATGCCCACGATGAATACCTGCATACTTGCAGTGAGTCGTGCTAGTTCCTTGGTGACATGATCGCCGAGCTTCCACGGCTGAGGCTCGACAGCACGCAATACCGCGGGTCCAGTCAGAATTCCGACCGAAGTAGCAAGCGGGGGCTCTGCCAGAAGGAGTGTTTCTTTTAGAAAACGTGAAAGCACAGTATAGAGGAGGATACTGCCCGAGAGGAACAGGAAGCTGAGATGGAGTGCTGTAGGGTTGATCTGACTCCATACCATGATGAATTCCGCAAACCGGGGGCTTTTCTGATAAGAAGAATAAAAGTTGGAGCTTCTGATTGTCTACCTACCAAACGAATCATAATTGTTCACTTCATGCAGACAGTTGAATCTTGGGCCGTTTGAAGAATGCATAGCTGTTTGTAGACACTTGATCATTCTAAGCAAGGAAGTAATAACAAATGATTTGCCAAGACACGTGCCATGGTATTTTCTTGGTTGAATCAAAATGAACAACTGGTAGAGCAAAACCTCCCACCCTTATGGTTCGTTGGAAGCTGGTAGTGACGTCAACGATATGTGAGGCAAACTGTTTGGCTTTTTGCCTCTTGATTCTGTCGTAGCAGTAATTGTCCTCAAGGGAGACTGTAGGGCCGTCATGCGCGTTAGATAAGGTTACTTTGCAGATCCAAGGCTCCTTAACCTTTCTTCTCCCTGCATGGAAGTTATGAAGTTGTCGTCGTAGGGCTATAGTGTTGATTAGTAAGCCAGAGATGGAATCATCCCTTTCCTAAGCAACTTAATATCCATGTATTGCAGTGGGGCCTGTGATAAGTACTTGTCTAATTCAGTTTATAGTGACTATGTTTATCTTTGGAATCTGAAATACTGCTATGCTGGCTAAGTCCAGTGATTTGGTGCACTGCCAGCAGGACATCCCCTTGTCCTCCACCTCGCACTCATCGTTTGGAGGCACGGCAGACCCTTTCGATGACGGTGTTAAACAAGCCGCTTCATTTTTACTGATACATTGCTCTATCGATACACATTATACTACACGTTACTATCACAGGCCGTATAATTTATCGCCCCAGAATCCGATCACGATGCACAAACCTCCCATCCCGCTTGATCTGGTCGTGGAAGTTCCTTGCCCAATGCAAATGATAACTATCCCCTAGCTCCGTGAATAATTTCAACGACATCTCCTGATCTTCCAGATTCTCTGAATGATTGAACGGCGAATACATATATCGTCGCTGGATCGCAGGCATGTTCTTGTCCCAGCCCTTGTCCACGGCATATCGCGCTACAGCGACTGCCTTGGAGTCCGTTGCATATGCCTGCGGGGTGCCGCGGAAGATATTCCGGGGTACTTGGTCCAGGAGAAGGATTAGGGCTAGTGCACCCTCACCCTGGCTGTCAAACTTCCAAGCGTCGAGAGCCCCCGTTTTGGCAGCTTCGTAGTCGGATCCGAGGTGCTTGCGAACGTAGGCATCGTCGGATGGACTTCCGTACCAAAATGACTTTTGTTGAAGATATTCTCGGGAGCCATTCTGGCCGAACCAGAAGGTAAGGACTTTGTCATAAGTTTTTGACATTGTTGTTCGCATGGATTTTATTTAGACGGGCGGGGCTCCCAGAGAGATGACGAGGGTTCAGGTTCTGTATGCAGAAAACTTGGTATGTTGGTCTCGATGTGACCCTATGTGTGATTGCGTTGTGATAGTGTTCAACTTCATTAGGTCCATTCGCTGCTGAGGTTTATACTTGCGCCACCATCAGTCTAACCCATTTGGGATATTACACTCTAAACTCAAAATTTTCTATTGTCTGCGGCTTCGAATAATGGTTACAGGCTTATATTGTCAAAGTTACTGTTTCCAAATATCGAATTGGGGATGTGGTTTAGTGGTATAATACTCCCTTAGCATGGGAGTGGTCCGGGGTTCGATTCCCCGCGTCTCCATCTTTTTTGTTAACTTTACTACCTATCTCTCCACTATTCTTTTTCAGTTTCTTTTTTTTTTCTCTTGACCTATCTAGAGCTTAATTTCTTTTATGATACGAATATTTCTGTGAGGGCTTTTATCCCTTGATCGACCTCCATTGGGCATGCGCTCGATCGATGAGTATGCTCACGGTGCAAGTGTCGGTGATATATATATATTTCTCCCTTCATTGACCTCCATTTGTACTATCCATCAACCAACCTAACAAGATTACCAGCCAGTAACCAATTGCTGTATCACTACTTATATAACTCTCCAAGTTATTATCTTTGAATCTCTTACAGCCATTCATCCATCCTGAAGCACCAAATCCAACCATCATCATGAGACTTTGGACACTTAAAGTTGATAGGCTTAATCTACCCGATGACTCACGATGCAGCCCATGCCCTAGAATAACTAATCAATAACTCGCTTCAACCACGGGCTATTGAGTCCTTCCGAATTGTACAGAAAACGCCTATGTACACATGATAATCTCCTACCAATGTCCATAGGTCCATAGCTTAATCTTCTACAAACCACAACAATGCCATCTACTCCCGTCAGCATCATAAGCCCCCAAACCGACCATGCACATGCACAACTTCATCCTCAGCTATGCCGCACAGCAGCTGATCCCCGACCAATAGTTCTAATGACCTGCGGCATCGCAGGTAGAACCCCATTTCTTGACATTGCTACCCACACTCCAGGAGCTAATTTGTCACCAGGTTCCGGAAAGTCAACACTAGCCCACTCAATCGTCTCCGCGTATCCATCCTTCTACCGTCTCTCCATCGACTCCTACGTTTATTCTCACCACGGCCTCTGGGATATTGACTATCCCCGAGATCAGTACGAAGAATACCAACTCGAAGCCGAAGAAGCACTCCGGACTGAACTTATCTCCGCATTGACCGGAGGACAGGTAGATATCGTGCTGGATTTTTCGTTTGCATATCGTGAGGTACGTGAGGAGTGGAAGAGGTTAATTGAGGGGTCAGGAGGAAGATGGGCACTGGTGTTTTTGGATGTTGATGCTGCGGAACTCCGACGGAGGGTTCGCGCTCGGAATGAGCGGGTTGATAAGGATGGGGACTCGGCGTTTTATGTGACGGAGGAGATTCTGGAACGGTATCTTACTGGGTTTGAGAGACCTGATGGCGAAGGGGAGATTGTGCTGTGAGTGGACTTTACCTGGGCTGTTATTCTTATGATGAGATGTATGGATATAGAGAGTTGTGTATATCTGGCCTGGTCTAGAATTGAGTGGAGGCGTTAAACTCTCGACCCGGGCTCTTTAATGTGAGGGTTTCATTCGTGCATGACATTTAGAATATTCATATGCTCAAGGTCTGTCTTCCAGTCGGCTTTAATGGGGTTCTCGAATTCGGCATGAGACGGCGGTGTTTCAGAAAGTCGCCGGCATATCCTTGGTTTTTGACTCGAATAGGGCAAATTACGATTGGGACTCACTAGTCCATCTCATAGTAAACACGAACGCCCGTTCCGTAAATGCACCTCTGCACGTGGCTCCAGGGGGTTTCCCGTATTGCCCAATAGTGGGGGCCATGAAGGGCAAACACCCTTGCATCATGCTGCTATGTCTGACGTTATATATGTCGCTGTGAGTTTCTTGAACGAGGGTGGACTCCATGGCCAAAGGCTCTGGCAAGCAATCACCATATAGACAGACTGCGAGAAGAAATAATGACATTGACGACTCTGAAACTACTCCGTATGTTCTTGTGATCTGCCTGATACGCCGACTATGTCCATCCGTAGTCAAAGAGCGGTGAGGTAGATTTTACACTACATAGCTACTGGAGAAGTGGGTGCTTTCTATGACTTGGGTGATTACCCTAAGAGTCCTTGAAACCCTGCTTCGTGACAATAGTCCTTTCTGATGGATTGGAACCATACCTCAAGGGGCATGCAGTTGCTGCTAAGCCTTGAGAACGGGGTTGTCTTCAATGAGCTTGTCAAATTGCACGAGGCAGCATTGAGTGCCGCAGAACAGCTCTGAAACTAAGAGTGGAAGTATAGGAGACCTCTCTGTAGTCTCCTTGTTCTGTAAAACCACAAGGTGGATAGCCCACACAGAGGACTTAGCATGCACTCGGAGGATTCCCCGGAGTTAATGCTTTTGTAAAGCACTACTAATCAATCTTTGTTGAATTACCAGCTGGTTATGCGATAGCGTCATACTGATTGCTACCATGTATATGAGCTAATTCGAGTTCACATGAGTACGTATCGGAAGGGACAAGAAGAAGAAGAATCACGTTCTAGAAGCAGGCCGCGATCCTGTCCATTCGCAAGCCTAACCCTATAAGGAATAGTGTCGGAAGCTGCCCACATGGCCCGAACATTCATCAATGCCCTAACTAGAATGGATGACAAAGAAAAAAGGGAAAAAAGCGAAAGAATCCGTATATTAATAGAATATCGGAGCGTCGGTGTCAACTAAACACGAGAGATGGGGTCTTTTACGACATAGATTACCAATAAGATTAGTCTTGGCATGTGTGAGAATTCATGCTCTATGTGAGGGATGAAGGTGAGTCACGATACAGACTGAGAGTTTGCTATCGTAGCGAATCATTACTTGCGCAGGTTCACCGTCTCATCTAGTTGAAGTTGATAGTTGAGATTTATGAAACAGAGACAGACGCTGCACGGTACTTGCGTAGATGATTACCTGGAAGTCGACATGTCAAGTTATCGATGATCCCCCAATTTCAATGTTAGAGCGCTTTTTGTTTTCTCTTTCGACAAAGTCACAGGCTCCAGGGTTCCGTCATGGTGGTGGTGGTGACTTTTCCCGGAATATAGATAGGAACAGGAACGTGGCTATAGCCGCTTAACAATCGGGCTGAGGCGAGAATAGAAAAGATTAGGTAGACAACAAACTTCAAAGGGGCAAATAGGAAAAAAACAGAAAATGACAAAGGAAAATTTCTGCGCCACAGCCGAGACGATCAAGATATCAGATGGAAAATTGACAGGACGTCGGGAGACAGCTTACAACAACTCTAAACCTAAAAGGGAAGGTCCCGCTTGACTCAGCGGAAGTGTTCGGACTTTGAAGAGCTTGAAGGAGCCAATCAAAAACGCCGATGGGCCAACAGCCGCTGAGTCATCGGAAGGAAAAATGAGATTGGCCCCGATCGGTCAGTAGAAGACCGGACTCCGAACCCAAACTATCCAACACTAAGATCCTGATCGACAAATGAGTTTGCTGCTTGACACGCAAATTCTGGAAGGGACTTGCATGTAAGCTTGAACGTTTCCCCTGCTCCAGCCGTTGATTGGTTTAAAACGGCGCAGACCTGTCGGAGATAACCACTGGCTTTAGGCCCCACAGCTCGGAAGGTCGACCTGTTTTACTCCTTTTCCCGCGACAATGACTTGATGGCGGCCACGTTTGAGTAAGATGAGGCCGCTAACGAATGATAAATCCCAATAAACTATGGAGTTTGCTGGAGCCTCGATCCATGCCTGGTGGGTCGCTTAAATGTGAACTCGGTGCAGGCCTGGTTTCAAGCCCCCAGACCCACCCGAGAGCAATGGGCTTATATACTTCGTTGCCCGTCCCATCCTCGTGATGGAAGATTTCTTTTCTCGGTGTGTACCTCACCGAAAAGCTTCCTCTAGTCTGACTGTGGTCCAAGCTTCCCTCAAGCCATGGAGGGTCCGGACTTCTATGCGAAGGCGCCGCCTTCGGACAACAGAGATGATACCGACAGTACAGCTACGGTGATGGGTGATGAGTCTGCGCCAACCCCCCGCCCTGCCAATGTCAGCCGCGCCGAAGACTGGAGCCTGATGCCACAAGTTAAACAGCAACATGAACGAGATGTGGCGTCCGGTTTCAAGAGTCGTGAACTCGGCGTCACTTGGAAGAATGTGAACGTCGAAGTGGTTAGTTCTGAGGCCGCCGTCAACGAAAATTTCCTATCCCAGTTCAATATCCCCCAGAAAATCAAAGATGGTCGCAACAAACCGCCCCTCCGCTCGATTCTTCAGAACAGCCATGGCTGCGTGAAACCTGGGGAAATGCTTCTCGTGTTAGGTCGGCCGGGATCAGGATGTACGACCCTGCTCAAAATGCTCTCGAATCGACGACTTGGGTATAAATCGGTGGAGGGTGACGTCCGTTTTGGGTCGCTCACCCATAAAGAAGCTGATCGTTATCATGGTCAAATTGTCATGAACACCGAAGAAGAACTCTTCTTCCCCACACTGACAGTGGGTCAGACGATGGACTTCGCAACCCGGCTCAAGATTCCATTCAACCTCCCAAAAGGCGTGGAGTCGGCAGAAGCGTATCGTCTGGAAATGAAAAAGTTTTTGCTGGAAGCCATGGGAATCTCGCACACAAATGATACGAAGGTCGGTAACGAGTATGTTCGAGGTGTTTCTGGTGGTGAGCGCAAACGTGTCTCAATCATAGAATGTATGGCCTCTCGTGGGTCCGTGTTCTGCTGGGATAACAGCACACGTGGTTTAGATGCCAGCACTGCTCTCGAGTGGACTAAAGCTATTCGAGCCTTGACAGATGTTATGGGCTTGTCGACTATTGTAACGCTTTACCAGGCGGGCAATGGAATCTATGACTTGTTCGATAAGGTACTAGTCTTGGATGAGGGCAAGCAGGTTTATTACGGGCCCATGTCCCAGGCAAGGCCCTTCATGGAGGACCTTGGTTTCGTCTGCCGCGAGGGGTCTAACGTAGCTGACTTCCTGACTGGTGTGACTGTTCCCACGGAACGCAAGATTCGGCCCGGATATGAGAATCGATTCCCTCGCAATGCCGACATGCTCTTAGCAGAATATGAAAAGTCTCCCATCCGTGCTCAAATGATGGCAGAATACGACTACCCCGACTCCGATCTCGCCCGGGAACGCACCGAGAACTTCGAGATGGCTATTTCGCACGACAGGAGCAAGAAGCTGCCGAAGAACAGCCCGATGACGGTCGATTTTGTTCAGCAGGTCAAGGCCTGTATCGCTCGTCAGTACCAGATCCTTTGGGGTGATAAAGCCACTTTTATCATCAAACAGGTGTCGACCTTAGCCCAGGCCTTGATTGCAGGATCCCTGTTTTACAATGCGCCCAACAATTCGGGAGGTCTATTTGTCAAGTCCGGTGCTCTTTTCTTTTCGTTGCTTTATAACAGTTTGCTATCCATGTCTGAAGTGACCGATTCATTCAGTGGTCGACCAGTCCTGGTCAAACATAAAGGTTTCGCTTTCTTCCACCCCGCTGCTTTCTGTATCGCTCAGATCGCTGCCGATATCCCAGTCCTCCTGTTTCAGATCAGTATCTTTTCCCTTGTGGTCTATTTCATGGTGGGCCTCACAATGAGTGCGTCGGGCTTCTTCACTTATTGGATCTTGGTTTTTGCTACGACAATGGTAAGGGCACCCCCATGGAATCCAGTCATCAAAGTTAGAAGTGTAGCAATGGGCTAACTGAATTGTATTGTGTAGGTTATGACCGCATTGTTCCGTGCGGTTGGAGCACTCTTCACGACATTCGACGGCGCCTCCAAGGTTTCCGGTTTCCTCATTTCCGCCCTGATCATGTACACCGGCTATATGATCACGAAGCCGCAGATGCATCCCTGGTTTGGCTGGATCTACTGGATCAACCCTCTTGCATATGGTTTTGATGCCCTGCTTTCAAGCGAGTTCCATAACAAGATCATTCCTTGTGTGGGCACCAACCTCATTCCTACTGGTCCTGGGTATGAAAATGTAGCCGACTATCAATCCTGTGCCGGTGTTGGTGGCGCTATCCAAGGCAACAACTATGTGACGGGAGACCAGTATCTAGCTTCATTGTCCTACAGCCACAACCATGTCTGGCGTAACTTCGGTATCCTATGGGCCTGGTGGGTTTTATTCGTGGCCCTGACGATCATTGCCACGTCCCGGTGGAAGGCTGCTTCTGAAACTGGAAACACGCTTTTGATTCCGCGTGAGAGGCTGGATAAGCAGGTTGCCCGCTTCGATGAAGAATCCCAGGTGAACGAGAAAGAGAAGAAGCGTAACGATGGCAGCTCTGAGGAGGGTGATCTTGACAACCAACTGGTCCGCAACACGTCTGTTTTCACCTGGAAAGACTTGACCTATACCGTGAAAACGCCCACGGGTGACCGCGTACTCCTTGATAATGTCTACGGTTGGGTTAAACCTGGTATGCTGGGTGCCCTGATGGGTTCTTCTGGCGCTGGAAAAACTACTCTTCTTGATGTATTGGCTCAGCGAAAGACTGAAGGAACGATCCATGGTTCTATTATGGTTGATGGACGACCCTTGCCAGTTTCCTTCCAGCGCTCTGCCGGCTATTGTGAGCAGCTTGATGTCCATGAACCGTTTGCAACCGTGCGTGAAGCTCTCGAGTTCTCTGCTTTGCTTCGTCAGCCACGCGATGTTCCTGATGATGAAAAACTGAAATATGTGGATACCATCATCGAACTTCTGGAATTACATGATATCGCCGACACGCTGATTGGCCGTGTTGGTGCCGGATTGAGCGTGGAACAGCGTAAGCGTGTTACTATTGGTGTGGAACTGGTGTCAAAACCGAGCATTCTAATCTTCCTGGACGAGCCGACCTCAGGCCTCGATGGCCAATCTGCATATAACACTGTCCGCTTTCTACGCAAACTGGCTGATGTTGGCCAGGCTGTTCTTGTTACTATTCACCAGCCTTCCGCTCAGCTGTTTGCTGAATTCGATACACTGCTTCTCCTGGCTAAAGGTGGAAAAATGGTCTACTTTGGTGACATTGGTGACAATGGCCAGACAGTCAAGGATTATTTCGGCCGTTATGGTGCTGCTTGCCCACCCGGTGTGAACCCCGCTGAGCATATGATTGATGTTGTCTCTGGTACTCTCTCCCAGGGTCGCGATTGGAATAAGGTCTGGCTGGAGTCTCCAGAGAACCAGCGTTCGATCCAGGAGCTTGACCGCATCGTCAGTGACGCTGCGTCTAAGCCTCCTGGTACCTTTGATGACGGCCGAGAATTTGCCACGAGTCTTTGGATGCAGATCAAGTTGGTGAGCCAGCGTATGTGTGTGGCATTGTACCGGAATACCGACTATGTCAACAACAAACTGGCCCTTCATGTTGGCTCCGCCTTGTTTAACGGTTTCTCTTTCTGGATGATCAGCGATTCTGTCCACTCTATGCAGCTCCGCCTCTTCACCATTTTCAACTTTATCTTCGTCGCCCCCGGTGTCATTAATCAACTTCAGCCGCTGTTCCTTGAACGTCGAGACATTTATGACGCCCGTGAGAAAAAGTCGAAGATGTATTCGTGGGTTGCCTTCGTGACCGCCCTGATTGTATCGGAAATCCCCTATCTCTGCCTCTGCGCTGTGCTTTACTTCGCGTGTTGGTATTACACGGTTGGCTTCCCCACCGACTCCGACAAGTCTGGCGCGGTCTTCTTCGTTATGTTGATGTATGAGTTCGTCTACACCGGAATTGGTCAATTCATCTCCGCCTACGCACCGAACGCGATTTTCGCCTCCCTGATTAACCCAGTGATCATCGGAACACTCGCCTCGTTCTGTGGTGTGATGGTCCCCTACCAACAGATCCAAGCTTTCTGGCGGTACTGGATCTACTGGATGAACCCGTTCAACTATCTCATGGGCAGCATGATGACCTTCACTATCTTCGATGTGGAGGTGAAATGCAAGGACTCCGAGTTCGCCCTGTTCGATCCCCCGAATGGCACCACATGCGGCGAGTACCTCAGTGAGTATATGCAGGGCATGGGCGCCCGCATGAACCTCCTAGATGCGGACGCGACATCCGGTTGCCGCGTGTGTCAATATACCCGGGGTAGCGATTATCTTCTCAGCGTCAACTTGCTGGATTACTATTACGGCTGGCGCGATGCGGCCATTGTTGCCCTATTCGCCCTTAGCTCGTATGCTCTTGTGTACGTTCTCATGAAGTTGCGTACCAAGGCCTCGAAGCAGGCGGAGTAACGTGGCCAGGCCACCGTTGCGGCTGGGGTGCCCATCCGTGCCCTCCCCTTCCTCTAATTGTCCCTCTAATATCTGGTCGTTTGTTGCCCTTTATATTCCCCGAACATAATTTTGCCGGATTAGACCAGCATTGTCAATAGATCGTTGCATTCCTGGTGTTTGCCTTTTGTTTACGATAGATATACCAAGTGCTAGACGAGCGATGAGCTGATGCGCTTAATGTGAATAGAACTGATTCAGTTGACTTTTGTTGGCTCTATTGTAAGAAGTGTCGCAAGTGTACTAGTTGCTTTCGCTACCTGGTGTTGCGAAACAAGTTCCGAATCAGTTGACGGTCCTCTCCGTAGTGAGACTCAAGTTTAGCCTTGGACTCGGCATCTGAGATATCCAACAACGATCATAACCAACCAACCAGTCAACCTAAGTGGAACGGCACTAAGTATTCTGGAGTATATGATTGGCCTCTTATGACTGGGAAGGCTATGCTGGAGCAACTTAAGCAAGGCTGGAGCTAAAACTAATGTAGGGGGCGGTTACACTAATTGCTTATGTGTCTACTGATTTAATCAAGCGCCTGCCAAGGGTTTCAACTTGGGTATCTTTCCTTCCATATCACATACCGTGTCTCTTGAGTGGGAATTCTGCCGCGCGGAGTATCCAATCCCCTTTTTTTCGTATCTAGACAAAGAAACACCCTCTCCCAACATCAACATCTGCATCCATCTCCGAAAATGGGCCAACAACCCTCGACCCCATCCCCAGGGACCAAAGTCCAAGTCATCGGAGCTGGACTTTCACGTACCGGCACAGCATCATTCAGCGCCGCATTAAACATCCTCCTCCAAGGACCCATCTACCATGGCGGCACCCAAACCACCATGGGTCCACCCATTGAGATCCAATCCTGGATCCAGATCCTCCGTCACTGGCTCAGCCCCAACCCCCAAGACCGACAGATCACACTCAACCTCCTCAAACAGCGACTGGACGGATACGCCGCCATCACCGACGCGCCGGGCGCGCAACTCGTCCCTGAACTCCTGGAACTGTATCCCGACGCCAAGGTCATCTGCACCGTCCGTGATCCGGACGCGTGGACGAAAAGCATCAACCAGGTTGCCAGTCTGTCGACGTTGTGGTTTCTGCGGGTAGTCCTGCTTCCGTTGCCGGGGATGAGGCACTTTGTCGAATATATCGACGTGTTAGGCGGTCAGTGGGGGCGGTTGTATGGGACGTCGATGCCCACTCGGCAGACTTATGAGCGGCATGTTGAGTGGTTGAAGCAGGTGGCTCCCCAGGATCGGTTGGTCTTTTTTCATGTTAGTGATGGGTGGGGGCCGCTGTGTGAGGCCCTGGGGGTCGATGTTCCCGTCGATACACCCTTTCCCAGGATCAATGATTCCGAGGCTATTGAACGGACGGGAAAGTACCATATCCAGCGCGGGTTGGTGCGATGGGCGGGGATTTTGAGTGTGGTGGGTGTTGTGGTGGCTGCTATTGCTCTGCGGTAGTGATGGAGGGTGTCCTGAAGTCTAGTTCAATATGTATGTATACTTTCTTGCAAGAACCATATTTTAGGCATATTTTGTGTATGTAATCACATATCTATAACGTTTTCGAAAGAAAGAAAGAAAGAAAAGCATAGAAAAGTGTAAGTAGGGTCTCTATAGTCATTAGCTCCTGAGAGTATATATAAAGTAGCTAAACGTTTACTTTAACCAGGCATGAAACCATGCGATCATTGCACATAGGGCTAAGATACTGTAGTTGCACATTACTATAGCGACTACTGGAGTAGACACCAAGTTACTATACTGTTTAGAGAAAAAGAAGGAGCATCTCAGATGGAGGGAACGAGTAATCTTCGTACGACATACATGGGCAGAGCTTGATCCATGGACCATATTATATGCTCTGCACGTATTGGATACATCCAGGGGTGATGGCACCACCTTTGATCAGATACGTAAATATATCTTGGTTAATGCAATAATCTAGAGTGTTCACCGGCCACTATATATAGTATACGGGGTTGCCTTGAGATGTGTTTAAACCTTAGGCATCCATGGAAAATAGTACGTGCGACTCCACTAGTCCCAACTGGAAAAACCAAGGTGACGCTTACTGGATGCGGAAGGCGAGCCAAAAGTCACGGGCTCCACAGGCAGAAAAGAAGGAAAAAAGAACACAAGAATTCCAAGACTGTTGAACAACAAAACTTTGACAGCAAATCGCAAGACCCCCCCCAACGGTTCCGGAACGTTACTACTCATGAACAAATAAGGAGGGGAAATGGGCTGGATGAGTTGTTCGCAGTTGCACCGTTGAACCCACATCGCCCAGGACGCCGTTGACGCGGCATCGTCCTGGGCCGCTCCGTTATTGGTCACCCAGCGATGAACGCTGCTCTAAGCGAAGCAGGGAATCTCTCGGACATGTTCGTTCTGATCTCGCTCGCTTCGATCCTGCCGTACCGTTGGCTCCAACCCATGGTGAACCCCGACGTTCCAATCCCCTCCGACTGACACTGGGATCGCGACGCGACCATCGGACCCTCCCTTATTCCTCCCATGATCACCCACGATTCTCGAGCGTTGCTCGTGTCTGGACCACCTCGGGAGAAGAGAGCCACGGTTGTGCCCTCTCAGGCCCCTCGTCAGGTTCGATCCTGCCGGGTTTGTCGACTGCGCAAGGTCAAGGTACGTCCCGAACCGATCGTGGTCTGAGCTTCTCGTTGTAGCATCACCGTTGGCCGGCCCTCCCCCCTCTCATTAATTACAATAAAAATGAATTAAAAAAAAATAATTTCATCCTAATTCATGTTCCCAATCGGCTCTAAAACGAATCTTGTCCCGACGGAGCCACCCCGACGTGTTGTGAAACTGACTATCCACGATAGTGCGACCGCGTCAAACCCTGTCATGCATGTTGCGCTCATGGCTATCCATCCAAGTGCGTGTATGAACCGGGGACAGACGAGGATCCCCAGCCCATCAGTCAAGCGGATGAGATCCGAAATCTGCGGGCGGAGATCCGCGACTTAACGGCCCGCCTGAACAATAGTGGTAAGTGGCCCCGACTCCCCGCATGACAGATCTTGATCATAGGACCATGACTCGCTGACTTGGCATTGCGTCGTTCTCCAGAGCGCCGGCACCGATCGGAGCGGCGTCAGGCCCAGCTGCAACGGTTGTTTGCGACTATACGCACGGCCCCGCTGGAGCTTGTCGATCGATTAATCACTCAACTCCGTACGGGCCCCAGCGGATCGAATGAGTGGGAAGGAACAGAAGGTGGGTGTGTAATGGCGTCTGCGCCAGACAAGAACCGTGCAGGGCAGCTGCGAGGCTAACTCAACCGGGCGTATGCAGCTTTTCTCCACCAACGCTCCCTGGATGAGAGCAGTGACGATAGCAGCAGAGATAACGATCACTATGCCTCACACGGGTCAGAGGGCTTCGATTTCAACCGCAGCCCATCAGAAAGCAGCGATGATTCATCATCATCCTCGTCGATCATTAGCATAACGAACTCATCTAGGCCGATGCTGGATGTGTTTATTGAGCGGTTTGTTGACGCTTTTAGTCCGGAAGTAGATATCAAGTCGGGTCAGGCCGGGGCATTGCGACGCGCAGCGGAAATTCGCATGTTTTCTCCGCTTCTGATGGATGCCTTTGAAGGGGTCTCGGTGGCTTTCTTCGGTCGGTCTGTTCAGGACCCGCGATTCGTGCAGTCCGGCTCTGAGATGTATGGGCGTGTCCTGCGGAATCTACAGAATGCCTTGTTTGACCCAGAGCGGAGCAAGGCCGAATCCACTCTGGCCACAGTCATCCTTTTGATGGCCTTTGAGGTACTGATCTTGCTTTCCATTCTACGGCCCTCATTGCTTATCGGTTATTTTTTTAGAGCGTCGCACGGACCTCGCAAGCAGGACTGGCATCGCACGTGTTTGGCGCTGTACGTTTAATCGAACACCGCGGACCTGATAATCATATTCACGGAGTAGAGCACCTTCTCTTCACAGAACTGCGTCCGTATTGGGTAAGTTCCATTAGTGAAAGAAAATGCCATGTCGATCCATGCGTGGACTAACGCGTCCAACCAGGTGGGGGCGGCCCTCGTCAAGCGTCAGCCTTCATTTCTTGCCGAGGAGGATTGGATCAAGGTACCCTGGTCAACAGGAACGACCAAGAAAGACATCCTTCACTACCTTTTAGATTTAACGGTCGAAGTGCCATCCCTGTTGGCGGAATACGACGCTTTGGAGGCCACGCGACAGTCCAGGGTCGCCAGTGCCCATGAGATCACCGTGAAACAGGCGGCGCTATGGAATGGGGTTACCAACCTCACGTGCCGGTTCCTCCAGTGGAAGATCGACTGGGTCGATGCCTATCCCGACGGACCGCCCAAGGAGGTGCCCGCGGAACCCAACGATCAGTTTCCCATCTTCCGCTGTCGGGATCTCCGTACCGGTGCTGTCGTCACCCCGACCAAATTTGTCTACCCCGATCTACGTCTCGCTCAAACGATGTGCCTATATTACACCTCGCGGCTCATGCTATCGACAGTTGACACCCGACCGGACGACGAACGGGTGGGGCCCGCGCAGCAATATGCGCTGGGCTGTGGCATCTGCCGGACTCTCGAATGGTACATCTTAACGGCACCCGGCAACATGATCAACCGGCTCGCTTTCCCCGTGCGCGTGGCCTGGGAGGTGTTCCCCGACGGCGGACCTGAAAGACGATTCATCTACGACGTGTTGAAACTGGTGGAGAAGCGCCATTCGCTTGGCTTATGGGGAAATGGGATGTCGGAGCTATCCCCTCGGGCCGGATCACCGCCGAGCGCATGACCTGGGGCCCTTGTATAGAACTAGGATGGATATGTTGGCGATCGCAGGCACGAAAGCTGATGTTTTGTGGGAACGAAGTTACGAGCGATATGAACTTGGTAAAGAGTTGTTGATCTCTTTTTTTTTTCCCCTCCTACACTAGCGAGGTTTGCTGATTAAGATCGAAGGGACGCCAGTCTTGACGTGACTAACGATAAGGATAATTCATATGATGTACAATAATCACAGCTCTTTCGGATTAGCGACTTAATTTATACCCGAATGTTTAACCCGTTCACCATGCCATGCGACTCGAAAGATTTACTCGCTCCAACCTGCCCGAGCCAGTATTTTGTAATGACAGCTATCCTTAGACATCATTGTTGCGAGATTGCTTAAACTCTCACACACTCACACAAACTAGAACCAACCCGTAGGACAACCGCGCAAGATCATTAACAGAACCATGCTAGACTATATCAATTCCTTTCAAAACCATCAAAGTACGTAAAGGCACTGAATGGCAACTGCTACATGGTAAAGTCGAATAGTGAATAGCAATCAATCATCAAGCCTCTGAGTTTCATAAAACTAAGAAATGTACTTTGTGCGGGTCCGACGTAGAGATTAGGAGTTCACCCCAAACGACATGCTGTACAGAGTATTAGCTACAACCTTGGAGACCCCAAGTCAAAGCCATATGACTCAATTAGCTCAATAGTTGTCGCCTTAGTAGCGATATCGATGCACCAGAAGTGGATGGCTTCGTCTCTTGCCTTCCTGTGTTTTTACCGTGTGCGGTGGTAACCAGGTGATTGAGGGCTGATATACTGCTAGCTTAGGGTTTAAAGAAACCGAATGGACGTCGCATATAGATGATTTCGTAAGATGATAAAAGCCGGCCCATATTTTCTTTTTTCAATAAAACAGCAAGACCCACTATCTAGGAAGAGCACCGCAGATTATTGAAGATGACAACATCGATCCTTACTACACACTCAGCTCACACCCGCATGTCCTACTCAATAGCCTACATCGGTGACGTTTTTGCTTGACAGTTCAAAGAACAAGACCTGCATCGTCATATGGTCTAGCCGTTCTCTCAGAGGTATCCGAAAAGCTGTGATTGTAGTGTAGACACAAATCATAGGAATCCGCTCCTCCATCTGCAGTAATATCGCTCAGATATATGAGTATTGTAAAGTCGCATGTCTTCAACTGTCCAGTGTCCCATGGGATTTGACCCGTCCACGATAGCTTTTGTTCTGTTGTCCTCGAAGTTGTCGACTAACTCCTTCATGGCGTTCTCCACATTAGCTCCACGGACAAATAAATGGATGTTCCGGGAGTACTCGAGGTGCCCACAGATGGCATCAACAGCTGCAGTCTGATGGCCATAGGTACGTGACTTGAACCCTTTTGGAAGATTCGCAGATGCTTTCGCGAAGTTTTCCTGGGCATCATCTCGAATGCTAAGATGGACGCCAGAGAGGTCAGTTTCTCTAGACTTGGCGACAACTCCTGATCTACTCTGTTGATTTTAGAACACCAGAGTGCGCGGTGGTGGTTTCACTCACCGACCGAAGAGTTGTAGGCGGGCCATGTATGAAGCCGAAGTCAGGAAAGAAGTCGTCGAAGGCAACATATGTTGGGGTTAAAACTGTAAATAGGGATCCCCCGCTTCAATAACCATTGGGTAGTCAAGGCGGCCACTCATTCAAGAGCATGGCCGCTCGAACGAGACCTAGGGTAAACACGATAGGGTTCAGCTCCTCGTTCTACTCTTCACTTCGTCGCTTGTTCCTTTTTGATCTGGGTGTTATGAGTATTAGTAAGTGACAATCTTCGGAGGATAGCTATATTCAACTCACTTGCATCTCTATCTGCCTTGGGGATGATATGGTATGTATAATGATTATCTTCGCCTGATTGTTCAGCATTGAGATATTCCATACCCTGTAACGCAGAAAGCCATGTCCAAGGAGATGTGACATGACACCGCTTTTTATTATCCCGTTCTGTACCCGCACTTAGTTGATACTAGCAAAAGTCCTCTTTCCCTTCATCATATGAAAATTTTGTCGCCAGCTCATGAAGAGACTTGTTGTACTGCGGTTCGTAAGGATCGGCAGTTCAGTTCATAAAGAGTCAAGAAAATAGCTAGCTGGTCCATGACCTTGCATTGCTACTGGCTGTCAGGAATTTCGTTAGATTATTCTCATGTATGAGGATCGAACTGCTGGGTTTGTACCAGCTTCAAGCTGCTAGTTGAGCTCAGGGGTCTGTTTCATGCTCTCGGTTCAGGTCCAGGGCTCAGTGGCATCCTGCCGAGTGGGAGGTTCAGAACTGTTGCCATGCGAGTCTCGTTGTCGCCCCCATGCCTGGACCGTCACCCGTTCTGGTAGCGACGTAGGACCGAGGTGGGTACGATAATGGAAAATGGGAACATAACGGTAAGACAATGCCTAGAACCAGGGCATGTTGCTTACTTCGCCTTCAAAAAGATTTTGGGTACTATTGTGATCGCGCTTTGCTAAGGGAAAGAAGTCTGATGCTTTATTCTCTCCTAGTTCAGCTAGGTGAAACTTGTCCTGCGAAGTTTCTCGGTTGATAGGGTTTGCATCTTGGATGTTCTTTCGAAAGTGGAGACAGATGCTGCCCCCTGTCAGGGCTTTTAAAATTGGACAACCAACATCTTCATAGCTAGTCTTTTTTCATCATCATGACTAACTGTCATGGTCAACATCGAATGGCGTACTGCGACCGTGGATAGTTGTGGGCATGGATGATCTCAAAATTGAATATAGGTTTAAACGGACGGATTGCTTAAGTTTAACTAAAAGAAATGTATACAGTACTAGATAGCGAGTATAGATAACCATCATGACAGTCTAACCGCATGCGTAGGTGGCACAGTATGTATACCAAAGGATTGAGTTTCGCTAAGATGGTTGGCTCAGACAACCTATCCATGTGAGGGGTTTGTTGCTTGAGCAGCGATGACTGTGGATCGCGTTCTTGCACTCCGAGGTGATATCACAGCTGACTGTGAAGTGAAGTTGACAGGGACATTGGACTCTTTTGAGGCGGTGCAGTTGTTTCCCTGGCAGGCCATCAGCATCTGGTGCATGCTAAGGGAGGAGGCTTCTGGCGTTCGTGGGGACATACTCGCCAACGAGTGCGGGTAGGGTATACCGCTCACCATGTTGGTCTTCATTTGCCAGACAAGTATTCAGGAAGCCCCCTAAAGCCACGTTGATTCTAGTTCCTACTGGGGCTATAAGCATCAGGACCCTTCACCTGTCAAAAAAAGTCGCCGATTCGATGCTGGTTGTGTTCCACGGCTTCAGGTCCCAGGTAAATGGCTCCGTGTATAAGGCTTTCACATTGGCAAACTGAAAGAGTTAAACAAGAAGCTGGGCGCGCTGAATCCCAATGCTCCTGTACGAACTGTGGTGCTCAGTGCGTATTCGACATGAGCTGGTCGTACGATCATGGAAAGCAATTGCCGCGAGTGGGTGAAGTGTCGTCAGTCCACGAGATATGCTGAATCTGAGAGGAGTTGGCAAGGACGTGACAGAGCCCGAAGCAGACAACAAGACGGAAGTCGCTTTGAGACATCTAGCGGCCACTCAGGTGAGTAACGAGCCTGGTACGGCGAAGAGGCATTATCAGGTGGTTGGGTACAGGTTGTTGATAATGCAGTTTGTGGCCGATAAAGTGATAGAATATCGGTGTTCACACGCAAGCGAGGGGTCTAAACTTGGGGTACATATCTCACTACATCATCTGATGCAATGGTGTCTGGCCGATCGTTGAAGAAGAAACCCTTGTTGCAATCTTGGAATCAGTGTAAGACCAACAGTCAAGCTGGCAGATCTTCGCAGATGTTGACGAGGCCTTGCGCATGTGGCTGTTGATTAGTGATAGCGTGTGGATTCCAAATATTGCTATTCACGATTAGAAGTTGTGAAAGGGCTATCCAACTGTTAATATCATTAGAGCGTCTTAGGTGTATGAGTTACACATACACCATCGAAAGGGGTGGAGGGAATCTTTAGTGATTCTGCATCTCAGGCATTGTCGATGAGGTAAGACTACAAAGCCTTACCGGAAATGGAGGAATAAGCATGCATTATTCCTGATCCAAGTACTAGACAATCACGTGTATTTCTCAGGTGGTCTGAGACGATGAATATATCAAAAGAAATGTTCCATGAGCCGAAGATTCACCGAGAAAAGAGAGAGAGATATATATATTCACAAGACAATCAAAACAGGTAATGAAAACAAGGTAATCATCGTGGCAGAAGATATAGAAAACCAAAGTTTTATGGTACCGTGAGGGAACTTGAAGAAGAAGAAGAAGAAGAAGAAGAAGAAGAAGAAGAAGAAGAAGAAGAAGAAGAAGAAGAAGAAGATACGTGAGTATGTCGAGAAAGGAGATTATAAGCTTAAAGACAGATGACTGGAACGTGACCGTGTTGAATGTTCATCCAACTGCCTTGAATTCCCGCCTTTGTATCAACCCTCAATTGACACTCAACTTCAACAACAGACAAACGGAGAGGAGCCATGACAGCTGACAGGAAATGTAACCTGGCTCAGGTTGCTTATTTCCAGCAGTCCCCAGCCGAGGCTCGAACCAATGCGACGCAGGGAACATCTCAAACAATTTCCAATAGTGTGGAACTAGCGGCGGCCCTAATCAGTAGTGCTGAGTTAGGATCCTTGATCGAGCGTCTTCTGTGGAAGACTCCACCCTAACGAATGGATTTGTATGGTTCCTGAAGCCGATCGCTATTCTCCTGATCGGATCCATCATTTATTATTACTATTTTATCTTTTTTTTTTTTTTTTTTTTTCCCCTTGTCTTTCGATCCATGCGAGGTCCACTTCAGCTGGGCGATGCTGGTCGGTGCACGTTCTTGTGGTGCTTTTGTTTTCATTTTCTTAATTTAAAAGGCGACATGGTCCTTTGAATGGGTCGCGGTTCATTGAATTTTTTCCTCGTTTGTATACATTCATTATACAGATCTTCCCCAATTCCCTTCGTTTGTACATGTACTTTCACTTCGGCTGCATACCCACACTCCTTTGAAATTTATTATAGTAATATAATCATTGGCCACGATGAAGTTACATTCCCTCCTTCCCCTGGCCGCCCTCCTCACCCCGTCCTTGGCCTTATTCGGCATCAATGATTTCGACTGCGAACTGACCGAGGAGCACCCGAACCCGGTCGTCCTGCTCCACGGTCTCGGCGCCACGTACTACGAAGATCTCAATTTCCTACAATACTGGCTTCAATCCCAAGGCTATTGCACCTACGCGCAAACCTACGGCGCCTACGAAGGCTTCCCTCTACTCGGCGGCCTGCGCTCCATCAGCGAATCCTCCGGCGAAATCGCCAAATACATCCGTGACGTCGCCGACAAAACAGGCGCCAAGAAAGTCAATCTCGTGGGCCATTCCGAGGGCGCATTCCAATCGCTCTACGTCCCGAAATTCCAGGGGGTCTCGGGTCTCCTCGATAAGATTGTGGCGATCGCGCCCCCGACGCAAGGGACGAATTTCGGCGGGTTGTATAATCTCGCTTATCTTTTCGGAAATGTTTCCCGGGAGGTTGTTGGGGAGGTGTTGAGTACGTTTGGTTGTCCGGCGTGTGATGAGCTGGGTCCCGACGGGGCTGCCGTGCAGCGGTTGAATGATGGTCAGCCCATCTTGCAGTCGGGAAATAACCTGACTGTGATTGTCTCGAAGTACGATGAGATGGTTACGCCGCATTCGACGTCGTGGGTGGAAGGCGCCAATAATATTTACGTGCAGGACTCCTGTCCCCTCGACCCTGTGGGACATATTGGGGAGGCGTATGATTTGAATGTCTGGAACCTGGTTAAGAATGCTCTCGATGGCACGCCCGACAGGGATTTCTTCTGTGTGATTGGGTCGCCAGGAAAGATCTGATTGTGGTCAAAAAAAAGGAGCAGGAGAGCAATGTTCTCTGGAGAGGTATCAAAAAGTATATATAGTCCCATATGTACACAAATTAATGTATAGTCATCAGCATCAACATCGCACCTGTCGCGGAATAAGCATTATCGGGTGCAGGTCTTTTCGTCCACCAGGGTTTCGTCGGAGGATCGTGAATCGTTGCTTTGGTTATCTTGGACCAGATTGTGTCCGTCGCTGCAGTGTGGTTAGAGTAAGTATCGTAAATCGGATGAGGGATGTGTGCGTACCCAAGCCTCTTGTTCGGCACGAGTAGAGAGAGGATGACGACGGGAGCGGACAGCGCCAACGCGGCGATGGTGATGTACCTGCGATTGTCAGCATGCGTGATTGAACCACCCCAAGAAACATACCCCATGACATCGGAATACTGGAAGAAAGTTAGCGAACAGTTCGAGCCCGATAGGAAACGAAGACGGGGGAACGTACCGCTCGGTTGACTGCATTTCGCTCCGCCGTGCCCCAAGCCGGCAGCGTATCCGTAATGGAGTTGTACAGCCGGACGACGGTGGCCTCAGCGACACTGTGTCCGAGATGCAACCGCAGCCGGTCACGCAGCTGATTGGAGTAAATCGCGCCGGCGATCGCCGAGCCGATGCCATTACCCAGGAACGATCCCAGCAGGATCAGCGACGTAACCTGCGCCAGTTCGGCATGCGTCACCGAAATCTGTGCCGCGACGATCACAATCGTTTCGATCATCCCGCTGCCAGCACCCTGGATCAGCTGAACGATGAACAGTTCCGCGACGGAGCTCTCGTTTTTGCGCAGACGGACCATCACTCCGTACCCGACCATTCGGATGGCGGCGCCGATCACCCCGATCCATTTGTACGACCGCAGCCGATACATGAGCAGTCCGGTGCCCATCCCGACCAACGCCTGCATGACGCTGTTGGTGTAGTTGAGGAACTGTGCATCCCGGGGCGAGAAGTTGTGGGACACCATGGACCAGACGTAGAGGTAGGTCTGGGTGGTTCCGAATCCGATGTTGTCCACGCATGCTAACGCCATCGGGACCACAACGGACAAGTTACGGAAGTAGTGGGTCGGGACAACCGGGTGGCGGGCGACGTATTTCTCGTACGGATACAGACCGGCCAGAGCGATGCCGCCCAGCACGATCAAGGCGTCGACCCACGGCGTCTTCCAGCAATCGGATGTCGTGGCGGCCAGGGTAATGGGGATCAGCACCAATGCAAACCCGCCACTGAGCAGAATGATGCCGCCCAGATCGATGCGCGAGCAGAACGTGACGAGATTCAGTCTCTCCGTCAGGATGAGGCCCGAGCGTTTGGCCCGTCGTTCGAAGACTAGGAGAGTGACAATGATGAAACTGGCACAGAAGGGCATCAAGATGGCGAACATGCCGATGCCCCAGCGCCAGCCAATGCCATTGACGACACTGTCGACGATGAATGCCGACACCCATGGCGTGATCAGGAAGGGGATGTACAGGATGTTGTAGACAAAGCCTCGCCAGCGCATGGACGAGATATCCGAGACGACGGTGGAGTTGAGGATGGCCGTGCCGGCCTGGCCGACGGAGTAGAATACGTAGCCACCCGCATAGATGTTGAACGTCTTGGATGATGCGCAGAGAATATACGACAGAATGTAGCATGTGATGGTAAAGATGTATGCCTCGGCCCGCCCTAAGACGTCGGAGATTTTGGCTATGGGCGGTTTACTTACGGCTGTAATGATGCTGGCCGCAGTGTTGAGCGTCGCCAGCACCGAGAGATGTTTAAAGTCGGATGTCGCGAAGTTGCGATAAGTCCCTACGGTCGAGTTGTCCAGTTCGCTAAACGGATATTAATACCTCGAGGGCTTTGCAGATCCCCACCAGACTCACAAGATGACCATAAGCATGACCAAGCTGAACGGTATGCGATGGTTAGCATTGGGCATCTGGATCGTACCAGTATCGGACTGTTGGCAGTACATACCCGATATAGAGGAGATATCTTCCCTTCCGGCCGCCCACAGCTTCGACGGCCTCGATTTTGACCGCTCCCGTGGCTTTTGGTGGACTGGATTCGGTGACATTGATTTCGAGCTGGTTGCATTTTTCGTTGTACAGCGAGGAAGGACTGGACGCATCGTCATTTCCCGACGGATGGAAAAACCTTCTCCAAGCAGCCAACATCTTTGGCGATGATTACACCCGTGCAGCACTAGTGACAGACGGGGGGGAACGGTTCTAGATAACTACTGATGGCTCAACAGTATCTTCATCGTTACCACCGGGGGGGTTGTAAATGATAGGGAAAAGTGGAGATGGGGGAAAAAAAAAAAGAAAAAGACAAATAAAAAAGGAAAAATGAGAGGGGGAGGCAGAGGGTGATTTGAAAGCTGGAATGAATGGGGAACGATGAAGAAGGCAAGCAGGGTTTGCAAAGTCAGTTGGTTGAATGATCGACACGGTCAGATTAGTAGTAACAGTCGTAGTTCTCCAGTGAGGGGTTGTGCCAATCAATCCCTTGGCGACCAGTCTGCTGGACGGTCGCTGATGCCGTCGATCACATCCGGATCGACGTCCAATCTGCTGTTAAACGATCATCCCACACCGACAGCGGTGGAGAGTAAGGTGTATAGCGTCATTGATAGTCGGCTCGAGACTAGTCCTTGAAGTGCCATCGCGGAGGATCGGTCAAGTCAACTAGTCACGATAGTGGCTCGAGTAGGATTTCCTTTGCCAAGAGAGTTGCCGTTTCCGGACTCATTAGCCCTATCTCGTTAAAATTCTTGATGGACGGGGATGAGGAAAAAGTCTGTCGTCCTTGATTTTCTCAAAATGACACTCCACGACATGAAAGCTCAGCTCAGCTCTTGGTAGCATATGCAACTAGCAATACATACCCAAGAGGTTCATCGGATCAATGCTGGAACGGTGGAGACCTAGATGCTTGCTGATGCATCTCTCATGCATGGTGCTCGGGAATCAGACATCCTCCGAATATGCCCGACTTGATGGAAAATTATCCGCCACAGGGCATGGACCAGCCCCGTACATTTGATTGCCTTGACATGGTTCCATGACAGGAAAAACGTTGACCAACTGCCAAGGGTCGATGAACAGTGCCTCAGGTATCGGGCCATCACGTCAGATGATTGGCCAATGAGACCGCAACAGTAATTTAACCCAAAATGGAAATCCGACCACACGCCAGGCGCCACGTGACGTCAACTGGGACGCGTTGGAAACACCGAAACAGTGAATACAGTTCATTCCATCCAACACAAACCCTTCAATTCGCTCCTCTCTGAGCGTAGATGCGTCTGCCCATAATAGAATGGCTGCACTACCTCCGCCCTCACCCTATCTGCTGGGTACCCACGGGGACCACCCCTCGAACAACCCGACCTCAACATTGACCACTGAGTGATCGTGCATCTCGCATCACAGACGCCATGGCCTCAAATTCGGCAATCCCAGTCGACCAGCCTCACACCCCTGCAGAGATCCTCCAGCTACAGAATCAGTTGGCACAAGTCCGGAACCAACGCATAATACTGGAGTTACGCAATGAGATTGCTCGCGAGAACCAGTTGTTGGCCGCCGCTCAACGCCGTCTCCAAGCGACAGAATCACAGACGCCGACCGGCGGTTGCGCCCTGAATTCATCGCATACCCCTACTCCATTTACGATTGGCAGTACCACACCAGCGAATAAGGGTACAAATGCGACGCCATGGGACTCGAGACCCAACCCCGTGACAGGTAATAACAACACGAGTGGCACTATCATACCAAGGAAGGAGGCAGAGTTGCCAAGGCTCCCCGTGCCCAGAAAGTACTATGGTCGGGATCGATCTTCGTATCTTACCTTGGTCAGCAAATTGCGAGGGTTGTTTCGCAAACATAAACGGTATTTTGCTTTGGATAAGAACAAGATTGCCGAAGCAAAGAGACATCTATCTCGCCTTGTCCTCGATGAATGGACGACATATACCGAGTCTCGTGGACGAGCCCATACATGGGATGAGTTTCGCTTCTTTCTACTGCGGCAAATTGAGCGGCCTGCAACGCCAAGGGTGGCGCGCCATCGATGGAATGTCACTCGACAACACCGCGATGAAACCGTGCGAGACTTCGCAAACTACCTGGTAATGCTGGAAAACGATTTCTCCACGCCAATATCTGAGCAAGACCGCAGCCAGAGACTCTGTCATGGTATGAACCGTTTATTGCAAAAGAGGGCTAGAGACGATACTTCATTTTCTACTCTGAGGTATGACGCACAGGTTGAGTTACTAACAAAGTGGGAAATGGAATTGGCTCGCCCGGTTGAGTCAGTGTCCCACCGGACCGAGGTGGTTTCTTGACAGTTGAATACAAGAGGAGACGGGAAGTGGCAAACTGAAGCTCAATGACAACTATCGGCCCTTTTGTTGTGGCCATCTACCGTGTGCTTGCCCGAGAGAATGGTCGATAGCCGGAACGGGTTCAGATATCACCAGGGAACAAAATTCATCCCAAGGTTTAATTGGAATCCAATCATGGAGGTTTTCTTTCTATTGTTTTTTTCTTTCTACCTATCTACTTCGTAATGTTTATGAGATTCTCTACGTTCATCTGTACAAAAGGAAACTAACGTAGCTTGATTGCATATAATCTGAGCAAAAGTTAAACAATGCTTGGAAGAAAAGAAGGAACACTCATTAAGACATCAATAGTATAAACAAACCCAACTAATTCAAATAACTGCCCTTCGTCTCTTCATGAATAACATCAAACAGCGGTTTCGCGCTGAAATACCCCGCCAACGGCGTACCGACAGATTTATACGTGAAGGCCGCATCGGCATCATCCACCTTAATGGTCTGTCCTCCTCGTCCAGCGGCCGCCGCATCAGCCAGTAACTGTGCATAACAGCACTTCTCCAAGCTCACGAACCAAAACACCGTCTCCTCGATCGTATTGCCGACCGTCAAGAGACCATGATTCTGTAACAGCGCCGCCTTCTTCTCGCCCAGGGCTGCGGCGATATTCTTGCCTTCTTCCTCGGCGAGGACGATACCGTTGAATTGCTTGTAGACAACGTGATCCTGTAGCATGAGTCAGTGATCAGGAATCGGTCCCAAGAAGCACCGGGAGAGACGGGACATTGTAAAAGGCACACGCATCCTGCGTAATAATATCCAATGGCCGACCAAGACTGCAAAAGGCGCGACCATGCAGACTGTGGCTGTGAGCGGCGCAGTTGACATCCGGGCGAGCGGCGTGGATGGCCGAGTGGATCATGAACGCGGCGGCGTTGAGTAATCGGCAGGGTCCGCCGTCGATGACCTCCCCGGCATGGTTGACCAGGATCAAGTCCGAGGCTTTGATCTGAGAGAAGGCGACGCCGAATGGATTGACCCAGAACGTGCTTGGGTCGACGGGGTCGCGAAGGGTGATGTGGCCGGCCACTCCTGTGTTTCGTGGATATAGATCGTAAGCTATCCGAGCATATCATATCATATCATATCATAACCTCCTAGACAATCGAATATAAGTAGAGCGGGGTGTGGTCTGGTAGTCCTACCCTCATCGTATCCATTCTTTCCGAAGATACGGAACGCCGCTGCGAGTCGACCTTTGAGATATTCACGCTCTTTCATCTTGTCTTCGAATACGGGCGGTCTGGGGATGTTCATCTTCACTTTGGCTTTACTGGCGCCGGCTTCCTGGGTGGACTGGCGGGCTTGGAGAGTGATGGGGGGTGCGGTTTCGGTTGAGGTCGGGGGCGCCATGTTGCTGTCTGGTTTTGCTTGAATGATGGTACGTGGGATGAAGTTGTTGTATCTATCTTGACCGGTGCAAGGAAGAGGTGGCAGTTGTTGGGGAAATCACGATGCTTATCTGATAAGGATTTAAATGACAGAACGCGGGGTAACCCTGAATTAGAGTTACCGAGCAGAACCCGAGGTTGTTTCTCACATTGATATGGATTGATGAGAGGACTCTGCGAGTAGAAATACCATCAAAGTGGATCATGAACCATGGTATTGCGATCATTCTATATATATGACAAGACCAGATCAGCTACGGCATGGCCTCAGTCTTCGGCACGCTCCCGATCTGATCCACCCATGGCTCCCTCCGTTTACAGAAGATTTCTAAAGCTAAGCCCAGGTCGCCACGAGACGCGGCATCCAAAGTGCCAGTTTTGACGGTAACGGTTCCTCTCCCACCGGGCTGCGTGATAAGTGGGGACCCACAATCCCCACAGAAGTGTCTCTGGAGCTCGTTCCCCAGATCGCCCGACGGATGGGCGTACACCTTGGGGGTTCCCGCCGTGTAGGTAAAGGTGGGTTTGGGGACGATCAGGTTTGACGAGAAGGGGGCTCCCGTGTTTCGTTTGCAGTCCTCGCAGTGGCAGAGAGCAACCTGAGTGAACAAATAACGGTTAGTCTGAGGGCGGATCTAAACCCCCACAGAGTATGGCGATGGGTCGAGGGATGCTGATCTTAGGGTACCTTGGAGGATGGCGCGTCAGCGGGGAGATCCACGCGGTAGGTGATCTTTCCACACAGGCATGCTCCAGTCAAAGACTTTTCGGCCATCGTGTGCTTTTTGTTTCTTTCTTTCGATATAATAGAGGAGCAAAGCTATCCGTTGAGATTGTAAAGCGGAATATGAAATGTTGGAGGACAAAACAGAGTCTGCGGGGCAAAGAATTAGTCTTTCGGACAGCTGTCATAAAACCACCCACTACTCGTTACTCGTAGTAATGCTTATTATTGTATAAATTAACGTGCAGGGATCGTCATACCAGGTAAAGCCAATCATCCGCTTCACAATGCCAATACTGCCCTCGGTATTTGTTGAATCGCCAACATCCCGTCCTACATCTTATGGTCTCTTGCGCTAGTATAAAATATGAACGCTTTATAAGGAGCTTCACCACTGTCTTATCTTGCGATGAGATGGGCCTTGGGATCTCATTTGCTCAGGATAAGAATGTTTTGTATCTGACGTTAAACTGTCGCTCACAAGTAATTCCGATGCGAGGTTATCTATGATATGTCCGGCCGACGGACTGACTCATGTATGATGGGAAGTACGATGACTTCAGGCTGTGTTCATAAGACAACTGTAGGTATCAAGCCTTCTTTGGTCCGAATCCAAGGTTGCCATTGAACTCGGCCTTGGTGCAAATGGGACAGCCAAGATAATAGATCGGACTACACTATTCGTTTGTGACCAATACGAGAAGGAGAAAGCAAAAATAAACAGCTATACATTTCGCTCCAGATTGCCCGTGCGGCTGGGGCTGTTACGATCGTTACGTCGTCGTCTGATGAGAAGCTTGCTCGGGCAAAGGAGCTTGGAGCAACACATGGAATCAATTACATAGTGGCTTAGGGGGGTGCGTCATGAGGGTTTTTATAAAGGTTAATTCAGGGTGCTCTTAGTAGAAAGGCAGTGGAGGAGATAAAAAAATAGTTATAAGATTAATAAAGGTTTTTCCTAAATTATTATTAATTAGATTTAGTTTTTACTAGTTTTATCTGGTTATAGGAAGTTACAGGAGATTGTATAAGAGTAGGTAAAGATATATATTAATATAAAAATTATTATATAATTATATAAAACTCTTTAAAATCTATTACTATAATATATAGTAAATAAAAGCTATAACAATCTACAATTTCTGTAGTTTTTTAACCGATTACTATAGTATATACTAGTTAAATATTAGTTATATAATAAATAAATACTACTAATAGTCTAGTTTCTATATATTTTTTAAACTAATATATATTATAAATAACTAATTAAAACTAGGAGAAAGAGAATCTATATAATATAGAATAAAAAAGTCTTTTTTATATACTCTTATATACTGAATAATTATAATATAGAATAATTAACTAATTATATTATACAAAAAGAGTAACTATATAAAATATATATAATCCAGACAGATCAGACTATATAATCTAATAATAGTAATAATTAGACCTAGTAAAGAGTCTATTTCTCTCTTCTCTCTCTAAGTAGAATACTGGTATTAATTTTACTAACTATAATAATATCTCTGTAAAAGTCTCTGATTACAATATTTCTGAGTCTATTAATATATTTACTAATTTTTTTTTAAATAACTATTTAATTGCAAATATTAAGCTTATTTACTATTAGACTTCTAATTTTTTTTCTTTTCTTCTTCTTTTTATAGAAATTCTGACTCTTGCTATTTCTGCTATATTTTATTTATATCTACTTATATAGTTGGGTCCTAAAAACTGTGTAAGTCAAAATAATAATAGTAGAGCGGAGAATCTTCTATACTCTTGATATAGAGAATAGTAACTGTAATAGTACTAATCTTGATAAATATACTATTCTTAACTATTATATTTTAACTGCTCGGGATAAGTACTATAACTTAACCTCTTTTACTGATACTATAAGTATTAAAAAAACAAAGAAAAGCTAGCAGTTCTGGAAAAAGAGAGATAATAATATTAAAAAAAACTTTGTCTATTCTAATAAGTAACTCAAAATCAATCTGTATACTGGTCTCTATAGTACTGATATTAAGACTTGTTATAAGTATACTAACTGGAATAAACTAACTACTGAGAAAACTAATTTTTTTATTCAGTTTATTAATTATTTCTATAGTCCTATTCTCTATAGTAAGTCTTTTATCTAAATAGTTTTAGTAGAGAGAGTCTATAATACTAATAAGTAACTAGTTTATAAAATTTACTATTTTATAAATTAGTTTATATTAATAGCAGGGAAAAAGCTAGCTGCTGATAGTTTTGCTTATAGAAATCTTATATAAAATTAATATCTTAGGTATAATAGATTAGTAATATTAATATATTACTAGGAGATTCTATAGTAGAATTAATATTAATTATAAATTAGAACAGGGAGATCTCTAAAAAATTAATAATTTTCTAGTTTCTGGAGAGATAGTATAATAGAAGATCCAGAATTTAGTTAATAGATAGATTCTTGTAAATATAATAGAATATTAAAAGAAAGAAGTATTGTTTATCTAGTAAAGAATATTTAAAATATAAAATAAT